GAGAGAGAGAGAGAGAGGGAGAGAGAGATTATCTAGTATATAGTTAAGTTAAAACAATATGTAAATTAAAACAAAGTTCATACAGCTATTCCATACGTTAACCACAATTCGGGTAATACTCAACGAATAAATTAGCATTATCAATACATTTAATACAAGCACATTAGCACTGCCCATAGATTTAACATTGTCCATAAAATTAGTATTAGTCACATTGAGTTAGCATTGACCATACGTTTAGCATTGCCCATGTTAATTTTATGTCATATACAAAGCATTGCCCATAGAATTAGCATTGCCATAAACTTAGCAACAATAACACTTAATTATAAATAGATTTAAAATAGTAATATATAAAAAAAAACTGTATCAATAACTTGTAATTTTTTAAATAAAACACAATTTTATAATATTCTATTTTATAATAATTTTATTAAAATCACAACATGGAATGACCATTTTATATTTCCCAATTAACATTCAAAATAATCATGTAAATGAATGCCAAAAAATGACCTGACAGGCCACCAGTAACCACGTCATCGTAAAATTACTGTTTCTTTAATTTATGGCAATTAAGGTCATGTATAATAATAAAATTACAAATTGTTTAAATTATTTAAACATAGCTCTAAATTTTATGGCAAACGAAATGCAAAACCCGGTCAATGAAGGCCAAATCACGGATACCTTCATTGGCCAGAAAGTTAGTCCACGCCTTAGGGTCGGGCCGATCGGCGCCGGCATTAAAAACGGCATCAAAACTAATTTCAAACAAATCATTTTTCTCGCTTTCAAACTCTTGGTCGGTCTCAAAGTGTTTGCGCATATTTTTAATAATAGTCGGCCAAAAATCTAAGATTTTGCGTTGAATTGCATATAAAAACAATATTAGTTGCATTTGTAATGTAAAATAGCAATTTTTTGAGTTAACCACAAGTCAGGTGATGTTAATAATAAAGATTAGCTTTATTTAACGGTTTAATTTAAATTCATAGGATTAGCATTAGAAGCCATGAAACCCATATAACAATCTATATAAACATAGCAATATATTTAGCCTTGCCCATAGATCTAATATTAATCAATAGGATTAACATTATATATGGACTTAATATTGCTTATAAAATTAGCATTGGTTATATAGAATTAACATTTTCCATGTTAATGATATGTGTTAGAGCTGTAATCTTATAGATCAACAAATCTCATAGAGATGGTGGGGGTATGTAAGGGGGCAAATAATGTTATAAGCATACATTATTCATAGCTAAATTGTGATTATAAATATAAATACCTATTAAATTGTTTCGATCCCAACGCCGTTCCTTCGTCTCGATGTCGAGCGCGTCGATCGCCAAACCGTTATCAATGAACGCCCGGCGCCAGAGTTCTACCACCTGTTCATCAGACGGACACCACTCGAGGCGCTTATTGGGCGGTAATTTTTTGTTGAGATCTAGACTGCCCGGTAGGTTGACGTACATCTCTCCCCCGGTGACCAACAATTGGTTACAAATTGACATCAATCGACTTTTATCATGTATATATTGAAGCGAAAAGTTGGCAAATATTAGGCCCACTTTGCCATCCAAGTGCCGTATATTGGCGCTCAATGCCGACCACTGGACAGACATATCTTGGGTGATGTACTCAACGCTGGGCAGAGCGTTGTGGCGGCGGCTGTACTCTGTCATCGCCGGGTCCACGTCTACGGCCAGCACTCGCCGGTGCGGCACGCGTTCGGCCAACTGTTTGGTGATCCCTCCGTCACCCGAACCCAAGTCTACTATAATGTCATAAAACCTGCGAAAAGTGTAAATTTAATTAATATAAGATTGTATTCACTATTACACTCTTGAGCCACTTTAGAGCTACATTTGTATACTGAGGTTATAAAGTCTTACTTTATTAATAACATGATTAATGTCACAATATATTTATAAATATTATAAGCCATTCTTTTATGCAAAATAATATTAACAAGATCATTAAATTTTAATCTAAATAATAAACAAATTACTTTTATTGCTCATGCTGCACAATCGTGCATTAAATAACAACAATGTTTGTAAAAAATATTTTTAAAATAAATTTAGCAATTATATCGTAACTATAAACTTTACTTACTTATTGTTAGAGGCAATCATGTCTATTGTTTGAATTGCATATTTTCTTTGCCCATTATTTGACAAGGAATATTTTTCCGGCGAGATTTGCATATTTAATTACTCTAAGACAAAGTTTTCAAATATTTATAAATTTAAAGTTCCAATTCTTTTAAATGATAAATAAAAACTAGAATACAATTAATATTTTAAATCAAATAAATATAAAGTAATATAAAATTATTTAATAAGTCTCTCTCTCTCTCTCTCTCTCTCTCTCTCCTTCTTATTGGTAATGAGTACTGGATTCAGGGCTAATAAAGTATTAAATAATCAAGTAGAATAAATTTATTATTTGCAAGTAATGAACATATTAATATAAGTGCTAATTGTACTAACGAGCAAGGCCATTTTCTTAAGTTATTAGATTTTAATAAAAGGCCACTAATTGTATAGTTTAGGTCAAATAAAAAATACAAAATAAATATCTCGGGCACATTTCGGCCAGAAACTACCGGCCCATCGGAAGTCAATCTTATGGACTATATTAATGGCTATCGATTCAAGTTTGGGGACAAACCATTTGGCGGTGTGGGAGGCATACCGTGATTGGCCTATCAGTTCGCTATCGTAGACACACTGCGAGCGTTGGGCGTAACGCCCGACGGCTACTTTGGCCACTCGTTAGGCGAAGTGATGTGCGTTTATATGGACGGGTGGGCCGACCGGCGCCAGTGTTTGTTTGCGTATAGCGCAGCGCAATTATCGGCCACCAATAAATACCACGATGGCATGTTGCTACAAGCTGCCACCGATTGCACCTGGTTAGAGTTGACCACTCGGTGCGAGCTCGAGCCAATAACACCCACCGGTCGGCCCACTGGTTGATACCCGTGCCATCACCTTAACGTCAGGCGTACTCACGTAACCGGCTATGAAGCGGCTGTACGGACCCTTATTGACGAATTGAATAACCAAGGGCGAATGGCCAAACCATTATGGTTGGCTCCCTATAGCATACACACCGGCTCGGCCTTCATGGCCCACACGTACGACACGTTGCGTAAACAGTTTGAACTCGTGGTGCCGGACCCACAGCGCCAACAACAAAGTGGCCGTTGGTTTAGTTCAGTGCCGCCGCCGACGGCTGGCGGGCCGTCACAATCATCGCCTCCCGGCTATACATTTGCCGCGTTTATGGCGTCAATGCTTTGGTCGCCGATCGACGTCAAGTCGGCTGTGGATCGACTGCCGGCCGACGCACTGGTCATCGATATCTCAGGTCAGCGCGATTTGCGTCACGTTGTGCTCAAAGACAGGCCTCCGGCTAAGTATATTAGTTGCACACGAGTTGGGCCCACAATAGCCAACCAATCGGTGACAGCTAATGGTTTGCAGCATTTATTGGAAGATATTGGTCATTTATATATTGCTGGTCACATGATTTCTATATGACTATTTTTATTTTATTAAAACCGTGTAATGTGAGATAATCTAGATAGAAATATTTTTAACAAATAATAAACATATCAATTTTTTAATCGTGAATCATTCATTATAATAAGTTTTGATAATGTGAATATAATGTATCCTAGTTGAGCTACCAATACTATTTTACGTACATGTAGATTAGCGTTGCCAGATATACAGGAATAGCCTGTATTATACAGGAATTAAGGAATATTGCAGAGTACAGGGAGGTGTCATTCCTGTACATTGAAAAATACAAGAATAAATATTTTAGCAATACACAATGAAAATGCTAAAATATTCAAATTTGTTAATAATTTTAGTCCTGTACACCCACTGGTCATTCACAATCTGAACTAATGTTAAAAATTTAATGAATTTAAACTTAATTAATTCAATTCTAAAGACATTGTATAAACACTTGAATTTTTGCAAAAACATGATTCATTGAAAATTGTATAAATTTGAAGTTTTGATTTACAAAAAAATGAAATACAGGAAAACACAAGAATTTTTGGTAAATTTTTCACAATTATACAGGAAATCCAAAATATTTTTTTAGCAACGCTAATGTAGATACGTTATACTCAAGAGTGCTTAAACTTACAGTTATACATTACGCATTACCATAGGATTTACACATATGTGTAAATTATAAGCACTCATGGTTATACTGATTATACTGAAACACAATACTGGTTAATACATACAATACTGCATACTAGCCTACGAAATATGTAAGCAGTAACTCATAAAACCATTAACCCAACCCAACCCGACACGGGTTGGGTTGGGTTGGGTTCATGTTTTCAAGGGTTGGGTTGGGTTGGGTTGAAAACGGGTTGACGGGTTAGAAACGGGTTGACGGGTTGGGATTGGTTGAACTGAAAAGTGCGCAGACTGTTGCGCAGACTGCGAAATTAATACTTGTATACATGTATACATTTTGGGTTGACGAGTTGGGTTGGGTTGAGTTGGGTTGAGTTGGGTTGAGTTGGGTTGAGTTGGGTTGAGTTGGGTTGAGTTGGGTTGAGTTGGGTTGGGTTGAATTGGGCTGGATTAGGGTTGGGTTGGGTTATGTTTTCTGATTTTAATACGGGTTGGGTTGGGTTGGGCCGACCTTTTACACCAAATTTCGGAGACTACTGCATACTATATGCTACCCTTATTTTGGAAAATGCATAAAACTTTAAAAGTTTATTTGTAAAAAAACTTTTAGAACTCTTATTTTGAGAATTTTAAATATTTTTAACAATAATTAGTTTTATTAAAAGTTTTAAATTTGTTTAATCTATTTTCATACGAAGTTGAATAAAAGTAAGTTTTAATTTAACATTATTTTTATAAAGAAAACTGTTTTAATTTATTTTTGAACTAACAGGTTTTACAAAAATAACCCTGATTAATAAATATTATATATTGATGTATGGTTTGAATGTCGACTTAATACTTTTCATATAAACATGAATTGCAATAAATGGTAAATAAATTGCAAGTAATGGTAAAACGCAATATCATATATACGGTAATATTTATTCTAAAGGTATATTGGCACTTTAATATTGGGATTTAATAAAATAATTTATTACTATTTAAATAATTTATTCAGGTTTATCAAAATGGATTTCACTGGAAAAGTGGCACTGATTTTGGGTTAACTTCACAACAATTACATTACTATTAAATTAAATTTTATTTACATTTCATAATCACTATATCTAAGGCTCGTCTTCGGGTATCGGCGAAGCGATTGCCATAAAGTTGTGGTCTTTGGGCGCGAATGTAGTCATCACTGGAAGGGATGAGAAACGGATTGGAGAAGTAGTGGACAAATGTCAGCCGCGGGTCAATCAGCGAACACTCGGTGTTAGAGCCGACGTATTGGTGGACAAGGATTGCGAGCAATTGGTGGCGAAGACTATCGCAGAGTTCGGCAAAATTGATATTCTGGTCAACAATTTTGGCGGCGGAGAAGGAATTGGTGCTAAATTTGGTGACCAAAACTATCTTGGTTTGTACGACCGAATCATGAATGCTAAACTAAGGCGCGTTCAAGTATTCACCATGTTAGTTTTGCCTTATTTGGAGTTAACCAAGGGCAATATAGTTAACATTTCGAGCATCGCAGCTTTCACCCCGGTAAGTGCAGTTACTTATATGTTATAGATACTGTATAAGCTGTAATAGAATAGAAACACATGTTAAAGTGGCCATAGGTTTAACATGTGATCCCATGTTATTTCCCTTATGGTGGGGAAAGTATAAGTAGGGGAGGCGAACGATCACATAAATCACATTTTTTTTTATAAATTAATGTTGGTTAAAAATTAACTACTGTACATAACTTTTAAAATTTTAACTAACACTTTGTTTTGCATCTATTAACATTAAATTCAAAATAAGAGCTCTAAAATGATGCTCCACTGTATGGCCAAATGTGCCCTGGACATGTTCACCAAATGCCTAGCCTTACAGCTTGGACCTAAAGGAATCAGGGTGAATAGTGTCAAGTAAGTAGTACTATATTTTGTAGTATAGTATTCACACCACATACATTAGCTACATGTTCTAATCTAAATGTTTACAAATAAAGTTGTGTGTATTTAATGTACTCTATTTATATATTAACATGTTTAATCTTGGTTGCAATTGATTATAGCCCGGCTACTGTACGAACGCCAATATTTGAACGAATCACAGGAGACACCAAACTATTGGACAGTTTGGTAGAGCACTGCCGGCAGACGTATCCGTTGGGCCGAATCGGCGAACCCGAGGACGTGGCCGAAGCCGTGGTCTTTTTGGCCAACGAGACCAGCGCTTCGTTCATCACTGGCCTTATTATGCCAGTCAATGGCGGCGCTAATCATTTGCCCAATTAATTATGATTGACCTATGTACCACAATAATAATGTTATTGGCATTTCTTTTAAGCAAATTTATTATAATTATAATAATTGATTACATGTTGGTTATTTTAATTTTGTATTTTAATACCGTTGTAGAGTGCGGTCACCATTTGATTACGCTTAATTTAAATTCAAGATAAAATTTATTATTATAAACAAATAGGCATAAGTTTGTCAGAATTAAATAAGTAATTGTTAAGTTATTATAACTTCTTACTTATTTACCTTATGTTATTTTTTCGAAATTAATATAATTTAAAATATAAAATTAATCGGTAATTGTAATAACTTTTCAAATAATAAGAAGCCGAACGATTTTATAAATCACATTATAAATTACACAACAATTATATTGTGCGTATATACACATATCTGACAATTTATTCATTACTGTTTTATAATATAAAGAAATATTCTGTAGATGTATTAAAATATATTAATATTTTAATAATTATTAATAAAGTTTTATTGAATTTATTAATTGTCATATTACAAGTTTCGTATATAAAGCCAGAGTCAACACATTTGCGCATTGCTTGCTTTCTCTAATACATACTAGTTAATATTATTAATAAAGTGGTACTAAACATACCTTAATACTTTAATTATTATACCGTATTACTAATAATAATAATAATACGGTATTAGTAATAAATTATTTTTATACCAATTGCAATAATTATTATAATGGCAAATAAGTTAACAGTATTAGTCGCGCCGTATTGCGGGACAAGTTTTGTCAACACATGCAATATTGATAATATCGAGAATTTTTGTGTTTTTATGGCTACAACTGAATTTTTCAATTTAAGATATTTTATCTTTGGAATGAAATTTTTCAAAAAATTTTTTTACTAACAATATCAGCAATGCTGATTCAGCATTGAATGTAGTTTTTAAAAATACAATTAATCATATTGAAATATAAAATTATTTGTCGTCCCCATAGGTTAACATGGGAAAATTGGCTTACTTTGTTCACTTGCCATGTAAAAACGTGCAATTCAATAATAGTGGTTCTTGGTTATTATAACACTTTGAAATCTCCTTTATGCAACCCCAACCCCCACCCCTCCGTATAACAAACACAGTAGGCTGTGAATATGGGTCTCGCAAATCATCCATTTTCTTAATAAATAGTCACGTGATTATAAAATATTTTTTATGTCAAGAAATTGCCCGACGTGGATCTATATATGTGTAAAGTTTCAATAGTGTCACTTCAACGGTTCCCGAGGAATCGCAAGAGAAAGACAACCGGAAGTTTTTGAAGATCCTTTTATATTGATTGAGTCATATATTGATCATTGATTAAGTCAAATATTAATAAAATTGTTGATGTTTGTAAATATTATCACAAATCTCATTAAAAATGTGATTTAATAAATAAATTTCTATAATTCTTTATTTAAAATGACGTTTCTGTGAATAGAATAAAAGCTAACCACAATAGACAACTAGATAAGAAACTATTAGGTTGACCGTCATGTAGTGTTTTTTATTTAAACTGACAAACCTAATTTTTTTTACTCACCGTTGCGCCACCTAATTATTGTACACTGTGAATTTGAATCTGGATAATCTAAAAAAAACATTGCCGATCAATACTGTATATTAAGCAACATATAATTAAATTAATGAAGCTCAAACCAACGCCATCGCATACATTAGATAATAAAATATTAGAAACTTGTAAATTTAAATAAAATACAATAACCATGCTATTTGAAATAATTTTTTTAAAAGTTCAAAGTGGAGTAAACATTTCATATTTTCCAATTAACATTTTGAATAGTCATTAAAATAAAAATATTATTTAAATTATTTAGCCGTAACTTTAAATCTTATGGCAAACGAAATGCAAAACCCGTTCAGTAAAGGGCACGTCAGCGACACCTTCATTGGCCAGAAAGTTGGTCCACGCCATGGGGTCGGCCCTAACGGCCCCGGCATTAAAAACCGTGTCAAAACTAATTTCGTACAAGTCGTTTTTCTCGCTTTCAAACTCTTGGTCGGTCTCAAAGTGTTTACGCAAGTTCTCAATTACTGTCGGCCAAAAATCTAGGATTTTACGTTAAATTTTACATTAAACACAATAATAAAGTATTATTTAAACTTATGGAAGCTTCCCATGTTAAAGTATAGCCACAAACAAATCCCATAGAGAGGATAGGTGAAAGAGCGAATAATATTATAAACATACATAATTCGTAGTGAATTGTAATTCAAAATTATCTAGCTAGATTATGAAAATAATCTAAAGCTTTACCGATTATATGCTGTCGATTCCAATGACTTTGCTTTGTCTCGCTGTCGAACGAGTCGATCGCCAAACCGTTATCAGTGAACGCCCGGCGCCAGAGCTCTACCGACTGTTCAGCAGATGGACACCACTCGCGGCGCTTAATGGGCGGCAATTTTTTGTTCAGATCTAAATGGCCCGGGAGGTTCACATAAATCACTCCCCCCTCAACTAACAAGCGATTGCATATTGACATCAATCGACTTT